GGGAAGAGACCTCAAAGATCAGTTCTAAAAGCCTTGTCATGGTCAGGGACACCTTTCACTAGACCAGATGGCTCAAAGCCCCATGCAGCCTGGCCTTGAACACTTCCAGGCATGGGGTATCCACAGCTTCTCTGGGCAACCTGGTCCAGTGCCTCACCCCCCTCACTGTAACCGATTTCCTCCTAATATTTAATCTAAACCTGCTACTTTCAGTTTTGAACCTATTACCCTTGTCCTGTCCCACAACAAAATGCAAAAATCCCTCTCCAGCTTTCTAGCTACTTGAAGGTGTTCCAAGATCCCCTTGGAGCCTTTACTTCTCCAGGCTGAACAACCCCAACTCTTTTGGCCTGTCTGCTGTTTTCATATTGTAGAGCAATTTTTGAACCTGCTCAACTGCTGTTCGGTGGGAACCAAGGGCAGCATTGCTGGGTGGTTACCCTAATTCATCTAGAATCAAGCCAGTATTTCTGTTTTGCTCTGTGTAATCCTGTCATGACTCTCTTACTCTAATTGCAGAGATGACACCAGCACTCAAGGGTTTCTTGTAAGCCAAAGAAATAAGATAAGATTTGACTGACAAAGCTTGATAAAGAAACCTCAGTATAACTGTGTGAAATAAGACTGTCTCTGAATTAAACCTGATAAAAGCTATTGCCATCACATATGGATCAGTTTCCTTCAACCTGTACACAAGATAGGGTGTTTCAGACAACTGTGATCTTTTTTCAGACATAACTCACATTTCTTTTTCCTATTCCTCTGGTTGACAGAAGCACTGACATCCAGGGCCATGCTATCAGTCAGCCTCATAAGATCATTTAGCACATGAGTGTAGAAATGAAAAATTTCTAAGTGCAAAATGATAAGATTCACAAGGACTTGGGTTTTTTTGTAAAACCAGCAGTTGAAGAATAACTAGATAGTTAGATTTAGTTGCCAGATTGCAAGAATTTTTTTAAGAAGTACATTTCAGTCCAAATATGTGCAGCTGATGTTAGCTTTTACATGCTCTACAGTAGAGAGTACTGTCAGTTAATTTTTGCCACATGCTTGAAGAGACAAGCAAAAGAGCTAGGCTCCAATTAATAAAAGACATTAAAAAAAGAGCACAGCAACAAAAGGATTAAAGTTTAGTTCAAGCAATAACAGTTTCCTAAAAAGCTTCATTAAGAGTAACAGTGTAGGTCTCACATGTAACAGTAACTCAGGATCACTTCACCACATGCTAACTTCTACAACAAAATTGCTAAGGGAAAAACAGTCCTTTTCCATAGATACTTTTTCTACTAATTTTCTCTGTCTTGAAGAATTTGATTCCTTGTTCCACAAAAACAAATCTTCAGCACTATCTCCATATAATTAAAAGTCGCCAGGAATAGCAGGGATTTCAAAGTTGAAGCAACAGTTCACCACTGGACCCTCCCCGACAGATGGAAACAGAGCTATGAACACAGATGCAACTGATCACCCAGTGGAATTGTACTAACTGCAAACAAGTTGAATAATGTTTGAGAAGTTACTTTTTCTGCTTCAGAAATTTGAGCATCACTTACAATAATAATAGTTATGCAGGGAAAGAAATCTCTCACTAAATACCATTTTCACAACTAATTTTAGATTAACGTTTTACCTCCAGAAGGAAGTCTATTTTCTCTTTGGTGGGTTTCAGGAACAGTTGACAAAACTGAATATCAATTATTCGACCTTGTAATACATCACAGATCGTGTTGCACACACAGACTTTGAAACAAACTTCATCCAGAGCATCATTCCTGCATGCACACAAAACAAGATCACAGGGTAGCACTGACAAAGAAAGAGCGGTATCATAGCAGGTGGAAAAAAATGTTTTAAAAATCAGTAAAGTGATAAAATTAACTGTTTATGTTCATTATGTTTTTTCCATGTATGGCCACAGTGTGATCCAACCAAGGAGCTGTGGTGTGATACAAAATGTAGTTTAGACTATTGCTAACAGAAATGAAGGCTGAAGTTTCTTGGATGCAAGCAGTTTCCTGTTAGAAGATTTTACATACTTCTCACAAAAAAACTATAACTAAAGAAAATTGCTCTTTATCATCACTGAATATTGATCATTATTTAATGTCTCACCCTTGCTGAGCTTTTTGGAAGAGTTCTCTCAGCACTGATTGTCTGAACTGTTCAGGTAAACTGAGGGTTACGTTATCTTCAAGGAATATCTTCACTAAGTCCTGCAACAAAAACAGTTGGAATAGTCAATGCATAATGCA